AAATTATGAATGAACAATTTTTAAAATGATAATAACTTTCTTATTGAAGAAACTCACTAAATCTTCATTCAATTTTTCATCTTTAAAATATTCTGTATTAATAAAATTTTAAAGGATATTGTATTCGGCCATCGATGCCAATTACTGTCATATTGTTTTAAAATATTAAAATTATAAAAATACCCGATAACCTTGAGTTATTTACTATTTATACTTACTTTCTTACTACTCTATGAATGTTTATTTTTGCTAAAAGTAAGAAAATTAGAAAGTAAATTATTTTTACATATGACTTGCATGTAAATATTTCATTGTTAAAAGTTTAAAAACAAAAAAAAAAAAAAAAATGTTAATACATCTGTTGGAACAACTTTATGGTTGATATATTTTATAATTATTTTATTTAACGCTTTAATGAAAAGTTAACTTGTTGTGCTTCAGAAAAATCTTTATTAAATGCATTACATAATATTTCACCTTATTGAACATATAATTAACTTCTCCCGTTTTAGTTATTATACGTTGATAATTTCTTTTCTGCCTTTTCAGACGTCAGTGTAAAATAATGGAAGGTAACAAAAAAAAATTAATTTATCCATACATGAAAATATTAAAATTATTTTGCTAAAATTTTTTGGAAAATCTATAAAAACGAGTTATGATAGATGCCTTGCATTTTATAAATCAACTAAAATAATTCTAAAATCTTTTAATTTTTCTATCCTATTTTTTACTTCATCAACTTGTATAAATATTAATCGTATGATTCTTAAAATATTTGATTGATTTTTACGTCTTCTATTATACAAACCAAATAAGGCCTTGTCATTCACGAAGGAAGTAAAGTATGTAATTTTCTTTTTCTATAAAATTTCACTTTCTCAGCGGAAGAAGAAAGAGCGTGTATGAAAACTACGCTTAAGTGGCAAAATTCAATTAGACCTGACTTGTAACTGTATAAAAATCGATATAAAAAAAAAAAAAATCTTTACCCCTGTACTCGATGTTTTATTCGCAAAATTATGTGTCTGTGTGGACGGCCTGCACATACTTGTGCTCAAAGTTTTATTAAAAGATCATCTGACGCTGAGGATATATTCCAGACAAATGCAACTGTTTACTTTATTCGTGTGCAGATATTCGTGGCTGCAGTCTCAACAGAGTGATAATGGGGAAAAAGAGTGAAAGGCACGCGATAAATGTTTGAAATGTGAAGTGGTGCCAGCGCAATAAGTAAAAGGGTGTGTGTGTGTGTTTGTCTGTGTGTGCGTGCGTGGACGCGCGCGGGGTGTTAAGGTGGGAAGGCGAAAGGAAGAAAGCTCGATTCGCTCGGCCACTCCCGCGTTCGCTTTAAATCCATCTCCCCTCCCTACTTCCCTCCCCCGCACATACAGCAGGATTATTAATCCCGCCGAGCTCCTCGATCGATATTTAAGAGAGTGGCCGATGCGAGCAATCAATACGTCAGAAATTCAAAAATCCGTGAAGGTCGCGAATGCATTTTGCTTCACGTGGCTCGGACAATTTTCAAATTTAACGAACCTTCTCGCACGATTTAGCCGGCGCGAAAACCCGTATTATTTGTTAGTCGTTGTGAATGTCAACGGGAACTTTGAATTTCATGCAACAGCTCCGCTTCGTCAAACTAAATTTTCTTTCTAACAAATACATCTTTAATATTACATTGGAAATCGTTACTGTAAAGTTTTTATAATTTGGCAACTTAATATAGAAGGTTGAAAGTTTCTTTGACATTTTAAAAGTTCAATTTCAAAAATCAATTGGCATCACTTGGAATTTTTTTATATCAACTAAAGTGGATGTGATAAAGTCTCGCTGAAGCCTGCAATAATTTTAATTTTATTTTTAAAATATTTTATTCTCCTGATAATTTATAGTCGAGCTAATAAAGACGGTAAACTTAATTGAGTTAGTAATTTCAAAACCATAAAACGAAATTGCCCTTATTAAAAAGGAAAGTAAATGGTCAAACGTTCGCATGATGATTTCATTTCTTACAATTTCACCAACATTCACCACTAACATTCTTTAATAGACAAACATTTTATAATGTTTTTAAAACGTGTATGTTTAACCACGCTGCAATCCTTATTATTTCTTAAATGTGGAAGTATTGTAAAAGTTCAGACTTTATTCGGTCGATATCATCCATTAATAAGCCAGTATTATTGACAATCAACTCCAATAATAATTTATAACTAATTGCTTGAAAAATGCTTCTGCTTTGATATTTTTTTTTATCGATATTTTTCCATCCTCCCACTTCGGTGCGCCTCTTGCTCATAATTCTGATTGAAATAGTTTATTCGCGCGGCTGATAAAATTCTTAATCATAAACTACTTTTTGTCAATTTAAGTTTTTTTTTTTTTCATTCATAGTGCAGAGAAATTTCTTAATTTTAATATTACAAATTAATATTTAATTATGGCATCGCAAGACCAACTGCTCGATATATATTACCCGCTGAAAATAAACTACTATTCAAGTCACTGATAATTATGTAACTCCAATTGACAAGAAGCTGAACGAACAATTTATAATAAATTATTTGCATTAAAATAAATATTAGAGAAATAAAGGTACTATAATACTTTGTACAATAAGAATAATAAATCATCAAATTTAAGAACATTTTATCTTGAGATTTAATCCAATACTCACCACTTTATCTCCATCTTTACCGTATGCAGAATCTTCATTGAAATGTTTAAAATATGCGTTACTTACAATAAACATTTTACTATATAAATTATAATTCATAATTAATGTATGCCTGACATACATTGCAATATATGATAAATTGATGTAACATTTTGAAAATTAAAAATCACGTAAAATTTACAAAACCATATTTATATTTTATATAAATTATATCTATGTATAAAAGCACATTTAACAACTCCGGTATATAATTCATTAAATTGCAATTAAACCAATGTGCAATAAACAATGTGCAATAGTGCAACGCAGTTATTACTACATTATTATTATACTACGAAGTAATATTATTTCAAAGTAAATTCATGTAATTATATTTATTATTGACTGCTCTCTATATGTTTGTCATATTACGTTTGTTTTTATGCAAACAAATTTTGGAAAAATCAATGACAATCGCTGAAACGATTAGAATTTAAGCATATTATAGACGAACAACTTACGATAAATTCTTATGAATTAATAAAATATATAAAATCGGTAATTTCAAAGCATTTTTCATTAACTTTTAATATCCAACCTTACACTTAATAATATTATTACTAAAATTTAAAAACAAACGATATTAAGCAATGTTTTATAAAAAAAAAAAAAATAAATAAAATAAAAAAAATGACAATTCACCATAAATAAAGAATTTATGAATTTTTATAAAAAAGAAATTAAAATTTTTACAAATCCTTGCACAAAATAGTTTTTATCTCCAATGAATCGTAAAAATTAACAACAAAAGTTATTCTATTCTATAAAAAAAAAACATACATATAATTCTATTTATATATGTAAGTACGTGAGCATATAAATAATTTTTTTTTTTTTTTTTTTTATATCTTTAAATATTATTAATATTTTTTTTTGTTTCAAAGAAAAATAATAACAAATTTCTAATTGAAGTTTAACAATGGTGGTTATTTGAATTTTTAATTCCGGAAAAATAATTAAAAATATTTAAAATGATACAACAATTTTAAAAAGTATATTAGGCAGCTTTGCCGTATTTACCTTGCACCTTAATTAAAATATTTTCATTTAAAAATGGCTTATATAAGCCAGATCTTTACAAGTAACGAAGAAAAACAATCCAAGTATGACTTTGTACGGTTAAACGCGTAAAATATTAAAATATAATCTTACGCATAACTATATATATATATATATATATTTTTTTTTTTATTAGAATTTTTAAAGAACATCTTATGAAATTTATATACCGATAATAGAGTTTTTGAAGCGAAAGAAGAAATTATTGCATTATCGATATATTAAAATTTTTAAACACATTGAGATAATATTTCCATAAATTAAAATTCTTTAAATAATTATTAGTAATAAGTATAAAAAAAATATTCGGATTAGTGATTCGAAATGTATGATTAACATTGATCGCATTAATAAAATTTTAGTAAAATATACGTATTAATATTTTAAAATATTCATTACATATAGATATGAGAACGGCGATACGAAATTCAATTGAAAATGTAATCGTATTTCCAATCATACAACCTAATGTCAGATTTACAGTTACGGAACTTATTATGAAGACATTCATAAAGTGTGTTATATCGTTAGATTATAAAATATGGAATTTAATTTTTAATTTAATTTTTTGGAATTCAATTCATGGAAATTTAATTTTTAGAGTTAATAATGTCGAATATCTGTTCGATACAGCCCAATATAGTTAAAATTAAAAACAAAGGGTATTAATAGTAAATAGCCATGAAATTTAAGTAATATCGTTTAAAATATACGTAAAATAAACTTTATACGTCTAGGTACAGGCAGTTTTATAAAACAAAGAAACAAAAAAACAAAAAAAAAACTGAAATTAAAGTTCAGTTTAATATTTCAATGACTTATTAACCAAAGAATGTTGATCGATAATACAACAAAAGTAACAACAATAACAATAACAATAACCTATTGATAGACCTATTAATAAAAATCCATCGTAACCAAGACCCTTTAGCTCGCACCTTCTCCCACAACAGGACTCCCAATGTTTGAAAATACTGTGTTATCGGTGTAATGAATGAACAAGGCCCTTGCAGGGAGATTTATAATAATCATAATAATAATAATAATAATAATAATAATAATAACGGGGAGGTGAAGAGGATGACCGGGTACGACAAGTAAGTGTCGAGGCTAAAAGCATCGGGGAAAAGAGAGCGAGCAGTAATGATTAAGGAAGAGGAGAGTAGGCTCCAGGGTAATAATAAAAATGCATAAAGTACGCCCCGTTTCTTGGTCATAGAGAACGCGAGCAGGTGGTGCAGGGCCAACGGCACCTGGGACAGCTACTCGAACTACTCCCAGTGCAAAGAGCTAAGGCTGACTCCACCAGATGCCGAGAACGGCGTCGAGATAACGACTCAGCTCTACTTCGTCGGCTACGGGCTCTCGCTATCCACTCTTATCATCGCCGTCGTCATCTATTTGTACTACAGGTATGACGCGGAGCCAGGCTTTAATTTCCCGCCTGCCAACAATAATAAATCCTCTCCGGGCGTCGACCCCGTGCAAAGATAATCGAAAAGATCGCGTATCAGCGGGCCTCGGGGATGGTCGAGAGCCAGTATGACACTTCAATGCGCAACTTTCATTCCATGATCCTTCGATCGTTGTTCTTAATAATATTGCGATAACGACGATGCGAGCTAGGGGAGCGTGATTTTTTATCACGCGGCCCCCTCAGCGTTTCGAGATAACCACGTGACTACGTTAAATTTAGCGGATATCCGAGTGATTGTAAAAGTAATGCGACGGGAGGTTAATTAAATTCTCGCGTTAGCTGTTTACCAATATAATCGATATTCAACTTGAAAGCACATCCTTAGACAATAGTGCCATTCCCAATGAAATGAAAGGTAGGCGTTATGGATATCGTTGGCAAAGTGTGGGCGTATCTCTATTAACAAATTGCACACTTGCACAATCCTTTGTCACGCTTAAGTTAATAATAACAAACAATTATGCCAAATATATTTTACTTTACGAACTTTTTCAATGATTATCTAAAAGCTTGTTATAGCGTTTTTCCACAATTATTACATAAGAGAATTAAAAGCTTCGTGACCGTAGAAAAACAAACTTACAGTAAGTGAAGGAACTCTCCATAGCGAAGTAAAACTTCATTATCATAAACAATTGAAGTAGCATAATTAAAATGACAAGGAATAACAAATTATAATTAAATACTTCAACAATTGTATAACTGCACTTTATATAAACATAATTCATATTATAAATGTATTTGCAAATTGAATTCCGTAACTAAACAACAAATCGGTTTTTTTTTTTTTTTTTTTTTAACATTTTTATAAATTAGTAAATTGTAGTCACTTGTAATTATCCTAATAAATAAATTGATATCTATATGTGATACATTGATGTAAGTATAGAAGTATACGTGAATATAATTATCAATATTTATAACACAATTTGACATTGATAATTGGAAAAATCTTTATGATAATGAAAAGAATTATTTAACTGAAGGATTTTCATCTAATGCAGACAATAATACAAATGCAAATGAGCTTTTAGTTGAAAATCTTGTTTAAAGAATTAAATACAAATTAATTATAATCATTGAACATTAATTGACTAATAACGAGTCCTTAACTTAGTTTACTCGTACATCTAAAAAATATTTTTTAACTTTTCAAATTGCAATTTTTATCGAAGATGAGTTAATATCAATTTTCAATTTGATTTTATACATGTGTATTAAAAAATTAATATCTATCATCGATAAAACTTTTTAGATTTATTATAAATCGTATTAAATTATAAACAATCTAATGATTGTTTATACGGAAATAAATATAAAAAGAAAATTATTTATAATTTAAAACAATAAAATATTCATAAATTATTCATAATATTCATGTATAACTATATATTAAATATTAATAAATTTGATCGCTTAAATAAAAAAAAAAATAAATAAATAAAAAAAAATTTTGTATTCAATTAACACTTAAATATTAATAAAATTTTTTTTTTTATTTAGATTTTTACTTAAAATATTTTCCTTTTGCTCTATTTTAGGGAACTCAGATGCCTTCGTAATGTCATACATACGAATTTAATGTTTACGTACATCTTGGCTGACTTCTTATGGATTTTAACGACCGTGTCACAAGTATTTAGTATTTTAGTACTTTTATCTACATTTTAATAACCGTTTAAATCGGTTTGAAAAAGTTCTAAATTTTTCGTCACTATTAATAGCGATAATTCGATTTATATAATTCGTAAAATCAATGATAATTAAAGGAATGAAAAACTTTATATTTCAATTGATTCGTTAATTGCATAAAAAATTATTTCAATTATTCTAGGAAATAATTTAATAGTAATTAACGTACACGAAAGTACATTTAATTTTGACGAAACTGATTTTAAAGATATTAATAATATAATTTGATATAAAACTTTCAGGTTTCTCTTCAAAGGAATATACCGATGTGCATCATATTTTATTCGTTATATCATTATTTTCAGTTAACAAACTTTTTTTGGATGTTCGTTGAAGGTAAATATTCTTCGATTGGCAATAATTAACGATCTTAAATATAATTATTGGTTTCTACGATGTTCAATGGCATTAATGATGAAAAATTAAATTAACCGCCAGCCTAATTATTCAATCTGCATGCAATTTATTGTAACTAATTTTAATTAACTTAACACCTAGTGGAAAAACTACAATTCGCTTCCAAGACTTTGCCTTCCTATCCTTTAAAAATGTAGCTTCACTTTTTGCGAGAACAACGCTGTATCTCGAAATAGCAGACTTTCTAGTCAAAACCCTCGATTCCTTTATCTCGAGTTACGTAGTGTTCTATGATTTACTCATGGACGATTGCACTTCCTAAATTAATGAAAAAAAAAAATATATCAAAATAAATAAATAAAGGCCTCGATCAATCGTTAAGCCCAAATAGATTTATTCATTAGAAAATCTTACGTTGTAGAGAGTACGTAATTTATTTCACTCAAACGATTGTAATCTTTCCAAAGCCTTACGTTGTAGAAAGTATGTAATTTATTTCATTTTATTTGTTATGGAATTTGTAAGATAATAGTAACATCTTTTTATAGGATTGTACCTGTATTTGTTAGTTGTAAAAACATTTTCGGGTGAGAATATCAAGCTCAAGATGTGCCTTTTTATCGGTTGGGGTACGAAATTTTTACACATCATGGCTTTTAAAATGCTTTTCTAAGGCTATAAAAAAAATAAACAAATAAACAAAAAGAAAGTAATTTAAATTTAAATGTACTTATAGGTATACCATTTGTCGTCGTAACAGTTTGGGGAATAGCTAAGTCTCTTGGAAAGAAATTCATAACAACAGAAATTCAGGTAAAATAGTCTTCCTTCGTATATTCTCTACGACTTCTTATTAATATAAGATCATTAATTTAATAATATGATAAAACAGAGTTTCACGGGACAAAACAAAACAAAACAAAAAAAAAACACCATTAATTTACAAAACCTTTGATATAATGATAGAAAATATAATGGCTTCATGCGATTACGTTTGAAAAACAAATACAATGGAAAATATGAATATACGTAATAATAATTTAGTACGGAAACGAATTTTTACCTCTATACATTATATGTTTGCAATTATGTTTGCAACAAATAAATAAATATTAAAATACCCGCGCACGGGCTTAAAAAAATATATAAAAATACTTATATGTTTCCAAATTTATCATTATCGTTAGAAAAATGATTTAATAACAATGAAACATGTTATATTATCGATAGGAATCAGCTTTATCTCGCCACTGTCCGTGGATGATTCCACATCCGTTCGATTGGCTCTATCAAGTTCCAGCAATTTTTGTTCTTTGCATAAACGTTCTCTTCCTTTTTATGATAATGTGGGTAAGTGAAATTTCTTATTCGAGTCTTTAAATAAATTGATAGATTCATTGACAATCAATCATTCGTTTGAACAGTAAAACAGGAATTACAACATGAACTATTTTGCTTGGATCAATGACACGTGTTTCACATTATCTAAATTTATTCAGATGTTATGTTTTTGACAAATTATCCCAAAGTCGACGAAGCACCTCATAAGTAAATAATAAACGATAATGACTAATTATATATTGGATATTGAAAGCTATATATTACAAATATATACTCGATCCATTTTCTCATCTGTAAATAAAAAATCATAAATGAAATAAATTAGAGAGAAAAAGTTCTTTCATACTTGACAGAACTTATATAGGATATTCATCTAATAGGGATAAATTATTATAACATAATATTCTTTAAACTAAACATTATTAAAGTCGCGAGAAAAAATATTAAAAAATATGTCTAATTGAAATAGACAAAAATTTCAGTATTTTCAAAGTTATCGTGCAACCACCACATAATGCTCCTCCTCACTTTTTCAGAATTTTTTGAAATATTTTTATTACAAATTTATCGCCATTATCGCAATTCATTGCCGAATCTTCATGCTTCAAGGTCCTGATAACTAAGCTTCGATCAGCAACGAATGTGGAAACCCAGCAATATCGGAAAGCTGCTAAGGCTCTACTTGTTCTCATACCACTTTTAGGAGTCACGTATATCCTAGTGCTGGCAGGACCTACCGAAGGACAAGCTGCCAATATGTTTACCTATATGAGAGCTATTCTACTTTCGTCACAGGTACATTGACACATACACGAACAAGATTTTAGTTTATCTTTTATTTAATATCATTTATTTAATACAAATTACTTTTCATTTAGCAGCACTAATAATAAAAATTAAAAAAACGTGTCGAATTATAAGAATAATTCGCTACGTAAAGTATCGTTCAAAGTTATTCTATCGAAATTGCCTATTATAAATAATCAATTATAAATAAATGAAAAAAAAAAAGAAAAAAGATATTAGAACTTAGCTTCTTTAGTTAAAATTTCTATCATCATCCAAGATCTGTATATGGTAATATATTATTGTTTAAAAAATCTCAAACTAATATTAAAATATTATATATATACATACACAAACAAACAAAACAAAAAAAATTGAATACATTAGTCTTTACATCTATTAAGTATGTAGGATCAAAAGCCAGATTAATTTTATTATTATGCGAGTTGGACGTTTGTTCGTTGCTTGCCGCATTGTCTACAAATTTTAGCCAATAGTATTAAATAATTTTGCGTTTACATTGGTCCAAACTAGACAAGTAAAGTTGTGCTAAAAATAAAATACGGTTATATATATATGCAATACGAGAATATTTATATACGTTCTTTGCATTTGAAAAATAAAAGATCATTTTCATAGTTAGAAATGCGTAACTATTGAGTATATTAGAGAATTTATTTTATTTTTATACTTTGAATTTATTTAATTCGCTTTACTTAATTAAATTAGCTGCTTTATAAATTTTATAAATAAAATCTGTTATTACGTAAGTAGGGTATTGTTTTTCGTTGTCATGATGGAACGGTTCGAGATCGAATCAAGATTCGTTTACAAGAAAATAAGTAATAAATAATGTCGTTATAGAAGTAGGAAAATAAATGTTAAAACTAATTAAATAAACCATATTATTAAAATACGGCTTCGCCGTATTTACCAATCACTCGTTGAATAATTTAACTTATTACAAAAATTCCAAATTAAAATGTCCAGGGAATATTTGTTTAAGAATGACATCTCAAAGGAGCAATCAGAGGTGAGTCAACACAACCCCATAACTCGCGTTGGGCGCGCGTCTCTTTATGCCTAATTTATGGGAGGACCATAGTTGTGCGCCATAGTTTATTATTTGTCACTTGACGAATCGACAGCCTTGGCATTGTACCGGATACGCGCGATTTTAATCCCGACGCTTTTGAAAGAAATACATAATTTATATATAGAGATGCATCAATAATTTAGAAAGCTGTTTTTAGCGAGATGCCAAAATATTTTTCTATGACAAGAAAAAAGTTTTTTGATAAATTTCAAGTCGCTCATCCTTACATCAGTAGACATAAAAAATTAAAAACCATATTGTTGCTACGTAACCGTATAACAATATTATATTTGAAAAACTAAAGTCTGTATGTCTTACGCTTATCTGGACTTAAACCGAAATTTAATTCCCATAAGTTATTATGTAAGGTATTATTGGAACATATTCTCGCGCCAATATCAATCAAGTCAATTAATTTATCATACATCTATTACTTAATAGAAATAAAATATTATTAACCTTTATTGGCTTTGATATAATATTCGACTGAAAATCAATCGATAACAATATTCTATTATAGGCATGTATGTAAATTATTTATTAATTATTTTTTCTTTACTCTCAATGCGTAAGCATTATGCTTATGATCATGTTGCGATCATTCTATTTTTATAAATTATGTATTTTTCAATATATTATTTTATTACTTGTATCTACGTAATGACTAATAATTATCCAAATTATATTGAATCCTCCCACCCGTTACCCCATTAACTATATTACCTATTTAATCATTTATCATTGACAAATAATTTTGTCATATCCATAACTTAAATACGATTATAACGGTTAATCGATATTGTTTATGAAGTAATTTGTTTGTTAAAAAAAAAACAAAAAAACAAAAAAAAAAAACAGTGAAGAAACTAATAAAAATGAAATTACACGTTTATTCTATATGGAATATTGTAATTTAAATTGTTAAATTCTGCTCGTTAGTTTAAGTAAAAATTTTTAATCAGTTCCTACAATATCTTGATTTATAAAATTCAATAAAAGAGATAATATTCAACAACTGCCCTAGCTTTATAAGTACAATATCAATATAATTGTTATTTAATCGAGGCGAGCTATGCATATATTTTATAATTATTTTTCCCATATAAAACAGATAATCTAATAATAGTATCGACCATATACGACACTACCAAAATTAATTCTTTTTGTAACTCTATGACTGCATTCGAATAATAATTAGAAACATTTTATGACTATGGTAACTATTAATCAAGCGTAACATTACTCTAAACTATGTTTAAAAAAAAAAAAAAAAAAAAAAAAAAAAATGAAACTTTCTATTCTATAAACGTATTTCTCGGTAGCATTGAGAGCAAAAAGAAATAAAATAAGCAAGCGAAGGAATGAAATACTGAAACGAGTATATAATGTAAAGTCTTATTAAAAATTCTGATAATTAACAAATATTTCATTTTTAAGGCAATTAATAGTCACGTAGAACGTCAAGGTCGGGACATTTTGTATTTGTATGTTATACGCGTCTGTAAAATTACTGAAATTCCAGTATCCAAATTCGATTATTGTCCATATTAAATGATACAATTATTTCATAATTCATTTGCTTATTTACATAGAAGTAAATTTCTTATATAATTATTAAAAGACATTTCAAACAATTTATACCGTTTTATTATAAAATAGCATGTAAAAATAGTTTTTAATAAAATTCAATTTTTGCCAAAATTCAGAATATCATATCTTCTTTCGTTCTGCTCTTGTCATATTCTATTTTTCTTAGGTAATAAAATTCTCAGCCGAATGATTCTTAAACTACTTTTAAAAATTTTATTTACGAATACTAATAAATTTACTAAAAGGTTCACAAATTTTATGACCACGATCAATTGCTTGATTACTACATAACTTACTAAGTAAGATTATCATTAAAGATCAAATTATTATGTATTATTAGCTAATTAAACTAATTTAGATTAAATAATACGATAAAACTCGCTCAAGAATTTAAATTTTAAATATTCCTTAAAATAACAAATTGGAAGGGTAAGATTTTTGAAATTACATTACAAATAGAATGCTAATTATTTGCTAATTTTATAAATCATATTTAAATAAAAATTTGTAGTTTCTCAAATTATTTTACACTGTATTAAATTAATATAAAGATATATTTTAAAAATTTTACTTGTACGTACACTTTCCTTCGTTTTATGTGTTTGAAAGATATATAAAAAAAATTTTACTCTTTATAGTTTAAAATTTACTTTACTCGGTTATTTCGAAAACACAATAGTTAATACATTTTACTAAAATTCAGATATTTTATAATCTTTTATCCCTGATTAAGCTAAATATTTACATATTAAAATTACTGCAACTAGATGTATAATACTGCTCATTATATATTGTAAAATTAATAGATTTGCAATTAATTTCGTCTATACAACATAAATAATCTTTAACATATAAGAGAAACTAATCTATGAGCAATTCTTAAGAATTGTTCCAAACTCTAATAAGAGATGGTTTTTTTTTTCATGTATCGAGTATCAATTACCTTCTGTCTCCAAATTTATTTTTGTTTTTATTTCTATTCTTCAAGCGATTTATGATCATTTTTCACAATCCGATATATATATATATATATATATATATAGTAAATAGTATCAATGTTGTTTTGTCACTTTAATTAATTATGGTAAAATTAAAACAAATGCTTGTACCGTAAAATCTGCAGAAAATACAATAGATAAATAAGAAAATAAATTTAACAATCCATATATGTATTGTAATGAATAAAGCATATAATCGTGAGTTAGCCAGTTTTTAATTTCACACAAGTATTACGAATACTGTCAAATATAAATTGTTATCTATATTCACTATGAAATAAAAAATTATTATTATTGTTGCAATTATTACATTGTTCGGATTATAAAATTTGAAAGATTTATGTAAATTAAAAATCATATAACAAGTTTGGATTTTTTGCCAACAACTTATGGAAAAAAATATCTTCTGATAAATTTATGTAACACTGCATAATCAAACAAACTCTATATCAAATATAAAAATTATAAAAAATAAATGTCAAAATAATGCATCATTTCATATATATATATATATATATATATATATATATATATATATATATATATAAATATATTTAATTTTTTACATTGGCTAAAACACTCCTTATCAATATAAAATTTTCTTATTTTACCGTACTCGTCATCGTATCTGCTACACGTTTTATCGTTTTATAATCTTCGTACACGATCGCGTTAAAAAATTTTGCCATTTGTGCAGAAAATCTGACTTATTGAAATTACACATATATCCTTTTATGGGATATTGGGCTGTTTTTCTTTCTTCCTCTTTTCTTTTGTCTTCGATAAAAGATAAAATGAACGTACAAAAGATTTTAAAATGTCTCTAGCTCCATGTAAAGCCAAGAGGTCGAAACCAGCCGTCGAGTACGACTGCCATAAAATCAATGTTTAAAACTCGCAGTCTCAAAGCTCAATTGAAAAACCATCGAAGAATAGCCCTTTAATGCCCTGCACAACCTTTAACACAGAACTAGCTCACATAACACCAGCACCCCCCCCCCCCCCCCCCCGTATTCTCGAATGCGCTTTCCGGCGACTTCATCCACTCTCCCTTTATACGCGTGTCGCGCAAAGACCTCCGAGAGATTCCTAATTATCCGGCGTTTGCTTCCAGGGCCTCTCGGTCGCGCTGTTCTACTGCTTCCTCAACAGCGAGGTACGGAACGCGCTGCGCCACCACTACGAGCGCTGGACGACGGAGCGGAGCCTCGGAACGGGTCAGCGCTACTACGCGCACTGGGCCCCTCGATCGCGTACCGAGAGCATCAGGTAATAAAGGCCGGGCCCGCGACCGCGGCGGATCGCGCACCGCGATGCCAACGGGGGGGTCGGGGACGCCACCGAGCGGCTACCTCATCAATAAAAAATTAATTTATTGAAGCCTGTATTATCTTTCAGACTGTACAGTCGACCAACAACCAACGTCTCAGCAAACAGCCACGTTAAAGAAACCACGGTGAGCGAGGCCAATGCGACGACCGTAGTCGACGCACACCCGCGGCCTGCTGTCAGGACCTTCCTCGGCAGATTTAAGAAGAACCACGTGTAAACGGTACCTGGCTGCCTGCCAATCAACGATAATCCTCGACTTAACGCCACCAAACGGCCGAGTAATGGCAAGCTCGGAGAGACTCGGGAGCCCACTATGGCTAGTTTTCTTTAATCGCTTGTTGCTGGCGCTAGGGATCTCCTGTTGAATGATCTGTCTTGCTTGAATTTGAGAATGTACCGTATCCCGAGCGATTAAGGACGACAGCCGAGTGGTATTTGTATCTACAGCGGGTGATTGTCGCGTAAAATAAGTCGAGCTTGCAAGTGGAAACGAGAAATCTTGGATGCACGGTCGACAATATTGGCTTTTCCTCGAGAGTAAATCTCTGCTTATCGGTTTTCGCGCGTTATCATTTTATACCGTAAAAGTTTTACTTCTCACGGCCCGAGGTTACAATGGCTTTCGAATAATATGACTTTGCTTAAGGTCCCGATACCAAGCAAACGGATCGGACGTTTTCGTTGACTCTAGGAGCTTCAACCTTGGAAAATATTAAATAAAAACTATTGCAGAGGATGTCATTAATTTGGTATGAATATTTAGATCGTTGGTTGACAGATGAATTAATTCAAGCCTTGCCCGAATCAAGGTAAATTCTTTTCTCATAATTTCATTGTTCGGCGTGTGAATCCATAAGAATATTTTACTGTCGAGCTAAAGCTTTTATCATCTAATTCTTTAAAATCTTCTTTAAAATTCTTCCCAACGTATGGCCATTATACGAATCATAGCCTGATCTAATACAATATAAGCGAGTAAAAAACAAATTAAATATATTGATTATATATTTTATCTTCTTTCCACGTTTAATCGAATCCAATGAATAGCCATGACTATGATAAAAGAAGAATTTTTTTTTTTATTTTATCCTTAAAAATGTATACATCGAAATTATTTGTGGGTGAAAGCTTATTGGAGCATTTGAATATTCTTGTATGTAAGAGCATTGATTTACTCGTATGCTTTGTCACGGCTAAACATTCTCTAAATAATGTCAAAAAAAAAAAAAAAAAAAAAAAAAAAAAAAAAAAAGTACAAAAAGCTTATTGAAATACAGATTGCTATTATTACTATTATTATGCATTTGTAAAGACGATTGTCTAAAATGTTCATCTTGTGTAATATATTTAAGAAACTATAAAACTTTCATGTAATATATTTAATGTGATATATAATATTTTTATAAAAATAATGCAAAATATTTTGATGCATATTTGCCAAAGTAATATTATATGCTATTGCGTATATACTCGAATCTCTTATTTTTATGAATATTACATATAAACCTTGAATATTGAATATTGAAATCATTTGACTTTGATTTTATAAACACTGACAGGATAATTATAATTAGACAAATTACACATTATACTGTAATTAGCTATATGAACGATTACTCGTAAAAAAAAAAAGAAAGAAATATTAAAATCACTTTATGAATATCAAACTAATAGAAAGGGTCTGGTTATAGAAAATACTTTAAATGTCAAAATATTCAAAATTTTGAAGAAAAAAAAGAGTATAGAATAAATTTGGAAATTATGACAAAATATTTTGCTAGAATTGTAGATACTTTATCGCAATCAATACACATTGTAAAATTTCAATAATTTCATTCAAACGATTCGCCGTTTATTCTAAAACATTATTTCCCACAGTTCTGAAATATGGATATCTAATATAATTATATAATAATTATTCTAACATTGTCACAAGGTAAAAGACATTGTTTTCTATTTGAAACATCAATAGATCCTAAATTTATATATTTGTTGAAAAGATTTTACGTTAAAAATATTTCATAATTTCAAAATTAATTAAACTACGAATGTTATTTAAATTCTTATGGTAATAATAACTAATAGTTTTCTTCTTCTTTTCTTTCTATATTATACTTTATAGATATGTTAAGCGTAACTTTAACAATCCAAATAATATATATTATGAAAAAAAAAAAAAAAATTATAATTCATAATTATAATTTTGTCTGAGAAATATATATTATTCTATCGGTTTATTTCATTATACGCCATTTTTATAAAAGCTTTTTCTTTCTATCTTTCAACAAAGATAATTAAATTTTTTTGTTTAATTAATATGTGTTTTATAATAAAATATTTTATGTCGAATTAATTAAAATATTGTATATTAATATGTACATACGTAATGTAAAATAGTAAATCTTAACGATACGAAATCTATAAAATTATTTCAATTTAGGCTACAGCATAATATTAAAATAAATTATTAAATGTAAAAATTATGAAATAATTATTTTAAGTACATAAATGTATATACATATAAATATGCTTTGCAAAAATACATAGGCGCGCGCGCACATGCATTTATAGAGTTAAATTAATCATTAACAAAAGTCATAACTTATAATGATAATGTCAATATTAAATTTATATTTTACAAATTATATTATAAACGATAAATATAATACATAATTATGAATATAATTTATGAATTCATATTTTAAACGTTTATTATCGGACTCTTTCTCCGATAAATTCCGGAATAAATATGTCAAATGTTTAGAAAAGTTTTATAACATAGCATTAAATATATCGAAAATATTTCTGGAATTTTGCTTATATAATATTTTTTTAAATTATAAAAAAATTTAAGACTTGTACAAAAATATTTTATCTAACGCAAACAGCATATTACATCCTTTATATTAATATAATTCTTAATTAAAATATTTTCTTATAATTTTATGAATATATAATTATATCTTTTATTAATAGTTTTTAAAATACTTTAGTAATATTAAAACTGTACTATACGAAAACTATTTTTCGGATATTCACACTTGATATAGAAAAGCAACGAAACTATAACAATGTTCAAATTAAATTTTAATAATGTCTTTAATTACTCATGAGCTGTATGATTTATTTATAATGAAAAATAAAATTCCAGGCATATTAATACGAAGCTTTTGTTTATAAATAGTTTTTTTTGAACCGAATATAATATAAGAAATTAATGTTGAATTTATCTTGTAGAATCACTAATTTATTAATAAGCCGAATGCAGAAATTAATTTATGTATCTGTAAATGAAATTTATAATTTTATTAAAGTAAAGGAAAAATATTAAGAAAACAAAAGCAAAAGGATCGAAATATAAGACAATGAATCCAAATACTAGAAATTACAATAAAAAATTATTACGGATTAAGGCTTACTTCAAAAAAATAATTAAAATGCAAAATCATACAAATAAATTAATTAACAATTTAGGATAATATGATTATTATACGCCTATGTATACAAATATGTTTAAAAACAAGCTTACAGATCATTGTTATTTTATATTTAATAAAAGAATAATAAAAATGTTACGCTATCAACGAAAAAAAAAGAAAAAAGAAAAAAAATGTTCTGATAATAGTGTGGGGTTGGTTAAAATCTGGTATTCTCGTCTAAATAATTGATAAAAACATGCAAAATAATATATATTTAAAAATTTATAATAGAATAATTTCTCAAATATTATTATTTTAATATTGTACAAAACTTACATCAAACCATAAATATCTTAATATTGTAACATTCGTTATACCATATAATTTTTTACACAGATATTAAAAAAAATGAATTATTATTATTACAATTGTTAAAATTTAATATGTATATGTTATAATGTGTATATATTAAAATATGTTTACTTAATCGAAATATTAAATATCTAAATAAAAAATAATTACGTTCTTATTACACATATATTATGTCTTTTTGTCAATTCGTAGTAATTAATTTGTGCATTATTACAACAATATTTAACATAAGATACTGCCTACACATTAAATAATAATATGTTAACTGCAACAAAAAAAAAAATAGAAATATTCATAAGAATACGTTGTTAAAAAGTATCATTACAATTTTTAATATCAAGTAATTGCATAATTATAATGAAATTTAATGTATTTATTAGTCTATAGAATTATGTTATCCAATGTAAACAAAATCAATAACCCAGGATGATTTCAATAATTCTGATAAAAGTTATAAAACGTAAAAACATACTGCTAACTTTAAATTATGCAATATGATTTTTATAATACGAATATAATATCAAAATAAAATGATACAGAGTTCTAAATTAAAAACAAATTAATCTATATTTCTCTTTTTATGGTAATCATTAATAACAATCATTTATCTTTAAATAAATCTGAATTGAAAGTGACTATTAATTTAATAAAGATATTAAAATAACCTAGTGGAGAAAATTTTGTATTTTTTATTATTTGAAATTTTTAAACAATATTTCAATTGTAATTATGATTAATAAAAAATAAAATAATATTCTAAAAACTTGAATATCTACGGAAACATTTGGAAATTGAGTATAATTACAAAATTACAAAGCAAAGATTTTATTGTTTTATAATTTTATAAAAAAAAAATATATATATATATATATATATATCTGCCATGTATATAGTAATAAAAAAAAAACGTATGAATTATCATTAATCAGTTTTCATAATTTAGTATATAAATAAATAGATATATACATAAATAGTATATAAATAAATAGTATATACATAAATAGATTTTACAAAGATAACATAATCACATTCTAAAATTTGATACAAAAAGCCTTATCAAAAAACATAAGTAATTAGATCATTTCTTCATTGTATATTTATTAACTAATAATATGTGCTGAAATGTGAAAATCTTAAAACGAGTTCATCAGGCCGAACTTATTTATAAAACTGTACCACAGATTTCCTGGGAAATTAATATATTAATATAGGGGAAAGCTATTTTACTCGCAGCAGGTCTCCTAACCCTAACGTTTCACAGTATTTTCATACAGCAAATATACAGATATTCACCAACGAAAATGTGAAAATCTATTATACGTAATATACGAAATTTAATTTTTCATATTTACCATAAAAAAATTGATTAAAAAAACAAATCTTAAGTTCAAAGAACTTTTTTTTATTACATTGCAATTTCGTTAACATGACATTTTATTCAACATTATTCTGCTTGTAAAATTACTTACAATCTTAATTATAGTATATTTAAAAATGATTAGCCCACTCCATAGATGAATTTCACATTATCATGACATACAAGAGTGTTTTACAAAAAATTTTATAATAAAATCAACTTATATATTCTCTTACGTAATAATTCTACGTAATTCTTACCTTTACATTGTTTTCATTTTTTTTTTTTTTTTGTTTTTGTTATCAGTTGTTTCTTTAACTCATGAGGTGATGAATAATTATATTATAAACATGTGTCCTTACATATACAAAACTATATATTCAATGACTCGTACAATTAACAATACAACTAAATTAGTTTTATTTTTCCTTTAAATTCTAATTTAAATAAACGCAATACGGACAGCGTGGCTTTACGTGCACTACATATAAATCGTAAATAAATTTCCAAAATAATTTAATAAGAGTGGCTTATGATCTACTCTTTCACAAATTTGATTCACAAAAGCACAAAAACTAAACGCCCTCTTACTCACGCGTAATTTGTTAATTTAATATTTAATCCAAAGTAAACGCATAACTCTTGTGTAATGTTTTACCAATTACAACGTATGTTACCGAATAGTAGAATTGAAAGTAATTGAAATTAATAATAGAATTTAACAATATTTTACTAATGAATTATGGCTTTAAATTTCATTTATAATTAATATGAAAGCAAACGTTGTATTAATAGTAAAATCTAAATGTTAATTTTAGTTCAAGTTTTTATTCCATATAAGCACATCCATGATATAAATAAAATATATCTGTAATGAGTTTTAAGACTTAATATTTACCTACGCAGATACGTGACAATGCAATGTATATAAGTATAATGATAATAAGATTTTTACAAAAAATAAAAAAGGAATCAAACTTCTTTGATTTGTATTTGATAAAAACTATTGCAATACTTGATTTATAAATTTATAATACATTCTAAATTGAACACATCGTGTATGGTCAATAAAGGAATTTGTATTTACTATAAGTTTAATATGATTGTTCCTTTTCTTTTTAATTTCAAGTTGATTTAATATAACATCATAACAACCGGTTACTGCTTTTTTTCATATTGTTACCTTGTCCACATTCATGTAAGACCTAACAATACTTTGTACAAGAATTATGTTACAAATATATTAAGACAATTCAGTTATCGCGCACATAACATCATTTCAAGGAGTTAACTTTACAAAACGATATTTTATTACACTCATTCACTTTGTTTTCATTCCATTTTTAAGTTTTTTTTTTTCTTTTTTTTTAATATCCTTGAACAATGCAATGACTTTACTCATACAAATTTGTCATTCAGAAAACAGAAATTCATTTACAGTCAATTTGAAACAGTTCTCAAAAATAAACAAAAAAGAAAAAAAAATGAATTATACATGAATTTACGCACGTATACTTGTTTTTTTTTTTTTTTATCTTCAGCAGACATACTTTCACTTTATTCAACTTGTAATTATTTCGTAGTTTCAATGTGATTTTGGTATTTTGGTTTACCATGTGTAAAAGGCAAGTATCTATATTTTATCATATGCTGAAAATAAAATTAATTTTTCAGTAAATACATATGCACGATAAAATTAAAATATTACCATTTACAAATAAAATATACGTATATATCTTCTTACCTTTATTTGACGCTTCATTGTAAGACACATTAATGTGATAAAGTACATCACAAGTATTGGCCAAAATACTGGTATATTAAAGAAATCGAATAAAGTAAGTATCAAAGAGACGACGGTGGATTTACACACAGAATACCAAAATTTAAATTCAGGTAATCTTCTGATAAATGGCCTAAACTCTTCGTTTGACCTCGTCGGTAGCTGGGGTCCGTCAGCATCTAATACAACATATATATATATTTTGTATATTAGTATTATTCGATTGAAGCATAGATAAGGGAAATTTTATGAGATGCAAAGTTATTTTTCACCATCAAAGTCCATCGCTGGGTCATTTTTTGGTGTGAGAAATGCTATAAATAGGTTAAGGTGGTAGATACCCAATGCATAAGTGATAATATACCATCCCTACAAGTACAAAGAATAACTTTTCTATTACATAGGTCAAATTAGAAAAAAAAAAGAAAGAAAAAAGTAAAAGAAGGAATAAGAAAATTAAAATCAAAAACTGAACAAGAGGAAAATTACAAATTAGCTTGAATTATTAACCTGTGCCAACAATATACGAAGGATAAATAGAATGATTAAAAAAACTGCAAATGCCCATCTTAATATAACATGCGGCGTCCACTGGTCCAGCCAACTTTGATAAACCTTAAACAATAAAGAGAGGTATAAAAATCATCATTGTAACATTATTAATTAAAGATAAGCTTCTTTATTTCATGTATGCTCATATAAGATTTTAATTTTAACAAGCGAGCCATACTAACATTACAGACCTGTGAAATTCTAGCTACTGCCTTACTGAATACGTTCTTGCTTGCAGGACCGCCAAGATCCTCATCTTGCATCATTGTACCTTCCTGCAATGCGAAGAAAAAGTAATATTTACGGCGTTGTTTGGGGCATGACTAGAGATGAGAGCTAGGCACTTGTTGATAAAACCTTTTAATTAATAAAGGAAATTTCAGTGTGACATGATGATAAAATGCTCACAGCAAAAATCTCTTACTAATTAAACAATTTTAACGAGAGCAGCAGCCCCTTTTAAAAAATAGTTGAATTGTCGAAATATATATATATATATATATATATATATATATTTATATATATAATAGGCTAGGGCAAAATATCGTGCCCACTTGGAAACAATTCGATTATAAGCTTCGATCATACGATATTCGGACTACCATTGCTTTACTTTCAATCTTCCGTGTCCAATAAAATCGCCTGATCAAAGCTACACGTCTATTATTCAATTTCTCGTAATGGGTGAATCCCGTACAACGTTCGCATTGATGAGTTGTCAATAAATCGTCGTTCCAAAAATCCTTGAAACGTCTAAGTCCGAGGCAGCACGCGCGACAGTTCGTCGATAATATTCTCTAACCAAAGGCTCGGATTCTCGTTGAAATAGCAGTGGAAAATGTCACGCGAGCGAAGCTTTCAGATCGGCCAAGGTGCTGCGCAGTCCTAACCTTCAAACACCGTTTCCAACCTCCGTCGTCGGGGCGGTGTCGTGATAATATAAAATATAAATCGGAAACTTCGCGATAATGTACTATCGAGCATGCCAGTCGTATTTACCAAAATCGTACGCCGTCTTCCCTCCTGACTAGCACAGCCTTTCCACTAATAAATAATACAACGTACTCCTTAAAATTATTATAACACGTCACAACATTAATGGCATACTATCGAGAAACCTCGGCTCGGCTCGGCTCAGCCACTCTCTTAACTCTTCTCGCCTACTTGACTGACTTGACTCGTCGCCGTTTCGCCGCCTTTACGACATGACGCAACCGCGCCAAGAGCGAGAGCACATGATACGCTGGAACCGCTGATATCAGCTCTCCTGCCGCACGTTTATTCGGTATTCGGATAGCCTCGGACTGCCAATACGGACTACCGGTGTGTCGTGGGCTTCAATATAAACATTTCTCAACTTTTTCTACATCGATTCCCAAAAAATGTCTCTCTTGTTACTTTCCTCCTCGCTTATGTGTACTGTGCGCGTCTTTCCCCGACTCTCTTCAACTATTCACGATTGACCTACGCTACACGATCGGCATAAATCGGCTCTTACCTTTATTAATTTATATTCAATATTAGTTAAATAACGGGCTCCCGTGGTTAATTGAGCTAACGATACGATTTGACGTACGCTAATAACGGTTATACATCCATCCATAATTAAAACCACGAGAACTTCAGCCAACTATTGTATTACTATTATGTATGGCATAATCCTCCTCCCATTGTAATTATATATTTAAGAAAAAATAATTTAAAAAAAAAACGCGCGTATTACTTTAACATTATTTTACCTCGACACTTTGTAAAGCATCTTTTATGAATAATAAAGCTTAATAAACGTTAGTTATATGATATTAATGAGAATAAAAAATGTTCGTTCCTATAAAGCCATTGATAGAATAAAAGTGCTCGGCTTTAAGCCATTGTCCGCCTAAATTTATAGTTAAAAATATCCTTCAAAATATTGATTTTATTTTGACAATTAATGAATTCCTTGATAAAATAATCTATGCATATATATATATATTTTTTTTTCACCATCTGCACATTCTTTTCGCTCTTTTGTGTGTGCGTGCGTGTGTGCGCGCGCGCGCCACATAATTGACAATTTATTCAAAACTCTGGTAAAAAAAAAAAAAAAAAAAAAAAAAAAAAAAAGAACGAGAAAATATAGCGAATTGAATTAACAATCACGATTTTATTATTAATATTCGATTGTTTATTCGAGATTTTATATTAGACATTAATATAATAGCACAAATGAAATAGATAATCCAACATTTAATAATAACGCGGATCACTAAATTAACATAATTTCATAATTTCGTAGCTGGCAAAAGATTTTTTGCGCTGCTCTAGTGCCTCTTATTATTTTATACATATTATTTTTTCGACAGCAATTCGATTCGATAATCGCAGCTAAAGTAAATAATATTCATTTGCATTATTTCATCTGCCTGCATTTTATTGTAATTATGGTAAATTGTCCTTTGTCATAAACTAGTTGAGACAAGTACGTAAGATTCGTAAGTTTAAAAATTTGCATAATGCTTAGGGACCTCTATTATAATGCTACATGTAAACTAATAATTTATGTAGCTTAATAAATAACTTTATAGCTTAGGAATACCTAATGACTGGGTCATTTTGAATCGTAATCCCGGCACTTTACTTATAGTCAGAAAAACCTATACTACATTATGTATAGTCACTTTGGAATACTATTCACTCGAATAAATTTCTGCAACATTAGCACAAGAGAGAAACGAGAGAGGTAATTAAATGAAAAAATAATTTATGATTAAGGCTCTTAGATAAAAAAGGATAGATCGAAATGTTCGATGAATTTAAATAAAGCGGAATATAATAACTTGCAAGCTCCACTCCTTAGTTTTATATTAAAATTATAAATAAAATGATATACAAATGCTTGAGGCTCGTTATCATGTATTCTTGATCATTTAAACATTCCGACATTTATTAAAATAATCAATTTATAAACATAGTTATAATAATTATTATTGTCATTATTATTATTATCATTAACTATTAACAATTAAATTTATCAGTATGTTCCTTCGACATTTATATTTTTATGAACTATTTAGTCTTTAATTAA